ACATTATGGAAAAACTGACACATCGTTTGAGACTACAGCAAACACAAATGGAAGAGAAGTGGAAGAAATGGACAATATTCAAGACAAAAGTCAACGACAAGAAATAAAGAACTAGACAAACTAGATGGAACTAAGGTCAAATAGAGGAACAGCTCCCAAGCATAAGTTTTGTTATGTTATGTTGGTTGTAAAGTGTTCATGTATATTGTATATGTAAACAAAAATGGAAAAAACTAATAAAAAGTTAAATGATAAAAAAAAGAACACCCACAAGTGTAATAATCCAACAAAAGTCACAGTAGAGTCAACAGGTATGTTGTTATGTAAAAAAGTACATTATGTGTGTAAGATTTTAATAATATGGTCACTTGACAGTTGTCAGGAGCATTGTCAGGTTGTCATTTAATAGTTGATCTAACTCAGAAATGCTATGTTCTGATGGTCATTACACTGTTTTATTTGACTAATATTCCAGTTCTGATGCTACACTGAAGTTTACAAAGAGTGTCTTGAGCTGGAAACATAGAACTTATCAACTTGAATACACATGGCCACATATTCTGTAGAAAGTCCACAAAAGGTCCACTAAAATCCAACATTACAAATTCGACTTATTTGCATAGTGTGAACATCTGTACAGTGGTATCTTCTGTTTCGTTTTTTTTTTACTGTATCAAAACTAAATCTGGTACATCCTTTTGGGGACAGAGTGTTATTACAAAAATAGGCAGCATGGATGAACGTTTTTTGACATAGGAGAGACAGAATTTTCCTCATTTTCCTATAACAAAACTGCCATGCTGATCATTAAATGTAGCTGGAGCCTGTTTGTTATTAAGTCTTTGTTTGGGGGTTTTCATTATTTGCTAAGTGGCAAAGTTACATCTTCTTTAAATACGCCAGTTTTACCTGAAACAAAGGAAATATCTTTAAATATGTGGAACCAAAACCGATCCGAGACATATACAGAAAAAAGCCTTTTCAGCCCAATAGGAAAAAATACAAACGCCTGAAATGTGTATCTCAGAAACTGCTGGATGAAACATGTAGGTGTAATATAACAGTCAGGATGGTAAAGAGCAGCCATTACTACAGATTAGAAAGCACTCATCCTTATTATTTTAGTTGTGTTTTTGTATCAGCTTGAAGGGAAGAAGTCAGCTATTTACCACTTTAATTTGAACTGATTTCTGCCACAAATCCGATGGACGTCTGTCATCTCCCAATATTTTTTAAATGTCTTGGTCTTAATGTGCTTTACCTTCTTCCATTTAACTAAATTATTATTATTATTTTCACTCATGACACCTGTGCTGGTTAGCATTCTCCTGAATCTAGAGCATAATAGATACCTCTTTCTGGTTTATCTGTTTTAAAGGGTCTTTAAAACAATTTCCTGAAAGAAAACGTTGGAGGTTTTGGACTGAAATCCCCTAAAGTGAATCCACCAACAGTTTCAACTTACTTCCAAAGAACTCGGCATTAAAAATGTATTATAGTCAATGTTTGGCACAGCTCATGCGGATTAAGAGGATGGACAAACTATCTCCTGCCAAAAAGTAATCCCGCCTGTTTAGAATAGCCAGGGCAATGAAATAGTTTTGAATTTTAAAAAAAAGTGCCTGTTTACTTCCATGCTTGGTGCATTATTTGTCAATGTCATGATGCTTAGAGTGTCATTTAAGCCAAAAATAATTCAATAAAAACTTATTTTAACATGATATCTTACACGTGAGATGGCTGTTCAAAGAAATCTGTGTTTATTTTATATATTACAGACTGTACCTTTTCTTATTTTTTGGGGTTTACAGTAACATTGTGGACATTCAAATTGGAATGAAACTGGTTCTGGGTCAATGGCCATAAGGAGCCTGGGGCCCTCCAGGTCCTAAACGTGCACTAAAATATCATTATGTCACCTGGAGATTGTTGAACTGATGACTTGATCATTGTTTAAGACTAAATGTAATAATGTTTCAGTTATGCCAGTAAATGTCCAGGGCCAACTTTACCTTTTTATTAGTTTTATACCTCTTTATTGTTCTGTGGTTTGACTGATGAGGAACATATTTTAAGGTCCTTTTCACATATAGCATATTCGGAACATCTTTACACTACTCTGTTGAATTAAAACTCTTGTTTTAATCTCCGTGTTTTGCAGGTTGATCAAAAGTTGGACCCTATCTCATCCCAAAAGGAGCAACAAAAG